CATTGCCAGATTTAAAAATGCTTCAAAGGCAATTTCTGTCATGTACACATGCATTAATATGCTGCACACAATGCATTATGCGTTGCGTTTGGCGCACAAACTATCAAAATCAAATTACTTGTGTTTATTTAAATGTAATGGAACATATCACTTGGCTGCGTTATGCTTGAATTCATGTTTTTTGTAAATTTTTTAAATTTCTGCATGCACGACTTCTGACAAACAAATCAGTGACGTATTTTCGTGCAAACAAAGATATGGTTCATGTCTCAAGCACAATATGATTTTAAAGTGATCATTTACATCTTTATTGAGAAGAAAAAATGAACCCTTTTTCATCTACGAAGCCCGTATCCATTTTGAGTAATTGCTTGCGCTAAAACGTAAATTAATGCTTCTCACAATACTTACATTGTAGTCCTATTTTTTATACAATAATTGAGAGTCTGGGACGTAAATTGCAACCTTATAGTCGCGGATAACAGAGAATGTGGTGAAATCTTTATCGCCAGAAAACTACTTAATAAAACTTGCCCGCACGTATTTTTATTGGTTACTTGAAATTTTACGACTCCAGCATTTTATTTTGCTAATCTTCATTTTCATGATCTGATTCGTTATATGTATCTTATTAGAATCTACTATAGAATATTAGGTTTTTGTGAAATGTCGTCTTATATTAGGCCGGGTCATAAGTAACTTTCATTTTTTAATCAGACATTTATTCTGTTTTTTGTACTTTTAAGCTCTGGTTTTGACTCTTATCAATGGTAAAAATATCCAAAAATCTTTTATTCGCTTAACCTATTCAAAATTCTCACATACAAATTGACAACCAGATAAACATACCATCTGTCCGACCTGTAGGCCTGAATGACATGTCTTTTTCTTCTTATAAGCTAGAATATGTTTCGTAATCAAAGAAAGAGTCCTCTGGAGCTGGTGATGATGCTATATGATAAGGTTAAAGCGTATCTCAACTATCTGCAATTAATCAGTGCTAGACAAATAATTTCATCTCAAGCGATTTGTGGTTCATCAAAATTATACCGATTATATCTCATACTCTTATAATAAAATATATATGTTTATATATATATATCATTCGATTTTTTTTAAATTAAATTGCGAGATTTTATATATACATAAGAACACAATTCAACTGAAAATTGAAGCGATTGTTTTACTTACAGTTTGTCGTGATGGTGGTGCCGCGGCTTCGCATTTACTCTCAGTTATGATTACGTTGAAACGGTCGGTACACATTTCTTGAAAAGTACCTTTATTATTGATCCAGTTACAATCAATAAAATATTTTGGAGGTTCACTTGTGGGTCTCACAGGCGGTAACATTGTTGAAGTGACCAGACTAGTAGCAGCACTCATATTGTCATTAAAATTCAAAAATTCAGACAACGCAATTTTTTTAGTAGACTTTTCTTTTAACAATAAACCTGGGGACGATATACGTCTCTTACGTTGTCTCAACTTAAAAACTTTTTGAATTTTAGAATTTTGAGAACTTGCCGGTTGTTGGAAACTGCGCAAAAATAACATATCATCGTTAGAATTACAAGTAGCAGCGTCATCATAAACAACGCCGTCGGCATTTTGCAAATTTTCCGCATCGTTCTGATTAACAGCAGCGAAGGTTTGTAACATTTTTGATAGTTCTTGTGTATTAGAATGCTGTATAAAACATTGTGAACTAGGCCTTCCGATTTGGTGACAGGCTGTTGCCTGCTGTAAGGGTTGTACCACTTTTGTAGTTTGCGGATTTAAGATTTTTCGTTCAAAACCAAAGCCTTGCATTGATACATTCTTAATATAATGAGAATATATATGTGGCATGCTTATTTTACACAAAGGTATGTCAATTCTCCCCGCGTCTTTATTATCAGGTTTATTCTGATTAGTTACAGAAGCGTTATTTACGTCATTAGAATTGATTGCGTGTTTAGGGACTGGCCTAACCGTGTCGGTGGCATTTAGGATATCCTTATTTCTTTCTGTGACCTTTGCATTTCTTTTTTCAGTTTTGGATTTTTTAACGGTTTCGTTTAAAGGCTCTTCATCGCTCGAATCCGATGGTTGAAACTCGGCCATTTCAGAAACCGAATGATTAAATATATACTCTTTTAGATGCTCGAATCCTGAAGGCGTTTTTTTTTTTTTATTTTCAGGATGTTAGTTTTATATGGCTATGTGATTCTTACCTTGTATACCCAAAGTTTGTAATTATATTACGGGGAAACTGTCTCTGATTTGTTGTTTGAGCCTTTTGTAAACGTGCTTTTTAAGAACATAAGGTGCGGTTTCCATCCAAAAATCTTTCTCGTCTCTCTCATTTAAAAAAACTTTACACCTTGCGTAAATAAATCTCGCATGAATATCGAAGTATTTGAAAATGGGCCCCAGTTTTTTATAATATATTACGCATATCACGATAAACTGTATGTTGCTCGTTACGAGATTTTGTATTTAATGCAGATCACAGCTTATTAATATTTTAATCCTTTTCGGAACAGAGTACGAGTGGAAATAAGCACGTTGTTCTTTTTTTTTAGTACATTTGTAAATTCCGTTAGACCGATTCAGCACAAAATTTGATAGCACTGCCAGATGGAAACATTTTTGCCATATTGCCATATTCATGTTTTATAATACCAATGAAATATAGGTTTTACCTACCATAATAACTATTTGTTGATACAAAGCATGAATAAGACTGTACACAATGAGAACATACTTGTGTTCCCGTCTTTATATTTATAAGCTTGGAAACACGGAGCGCGGCTTTTAGCTTGACGCGTAATTATGGTAATCATATAGCCTAAAGTTAGCTTTCGCTGTTGTATTCAGCTGTTTGGCAACACGGCTGAATATACGACATGAAAAACAAAAACGATCGCGTCTTGGGCTGACAGTACTCAAGTTTCGAGTTTTGTTTCTCGGTCGTTGTATTTACGAGGGAATATTTGTGATATTATCGATGGGTATATAAAAATATGAGGCATGGAAAAGGAATAAAAATGAACAAATAAACAAACCATACGTAAAATTTGGAAAAGTAATTGGTGAAAAAATTGAAATCTTTCAACAAAAATATAAAACCATGTTTAATATATAAAATATAAACTGAAACAAGTAAGTATGCTTAAAAGAGCAATTTCAACAAATGGATGAAAGTCTTGCGAACATCCAAAGGCTATAGGCATTTAGGTACTATGTCTTCAACTATACCTAATAATTTTGCAATTTGCATTTTTCATTTTGCAATGCCGACGGCAATTCGCATTTTGCAATGAATTTTAACAGATTACGTGAGACATAAAGCTGGCGGTTTTGCAAATTAAACGATCTGGCAATTTAAGTTGTTAGGTGGGCACTCAACCATTTTTGGCAATTTTTTATTTATTATAAGCGACTCTGTGCTTTGCCTTTCAATGGCCATTCAATTGCGGAACGAACAAGGAAAGCGTCAAATATATGGCGAGAAGTCGTTATTATCCTGAGAAAATTGCCAAGCTTGCGAATTTTAAGTCCCTCACACGACATCGGCTGATAATGTGCAAAATAATCCACAGGAAATTTATGTCGAGAAGCTTGACAATAACTTTGAAAAGATTGGGAAAAAAATTAGAATTCATATAAAGTAAAATTTTAATAAATTGATTGAATCGCGTTTTTAATGGCTAACTTTATTTTTCTAATTTCTGTATCTATTTTATGTTGCGTTTTGTCTATTTGGCGTTTTTTTTTATCCATTTTAGATTTCTCTTCCGATATCTCCAACGATCGTTTCATGGTGGGAATTCACTTACCTCTTATTTACTTGATTTTATTATTTTTTTCGACATTGTAGCATTTCTCAAATCTAGTGATCTATGAAATTCCATGTCCACTAATTTCGTCAAATATGTGCTTTCATAGCGACATTACACTTTATTTTCCTTTTGAACGCGATGCCCGATAGTTATTCGCTCAAGTTGCAAATTCGATTACAAGAACGATAAGCCGATTCCATATGTTTCTTTTTTACATTTACATTGACTTCATTATTTTTTATTATTCAATAAGGTGTGTTTAACGCTTGGCACTTAGCAATACGGCTTCTGAGAGGTGTTATCGTGACCAACAGCTATAAACCTACAATAAAAGATTACGATCGGTCGACTTATTCGACTAGCGATAGCCCTAAAACGGCCTATTAATTAAGGACTTATTCGTTCCAAATAAATGAAAAATCAAGGCATATAATAATTTTGAAAATTGCCGAAAAACAATTGAAGCCAAAGATCGTGTGCAATATATATATATATCCATAATAATAGGCCTACACAACCTTGAACGAATTGAACAATTCTAATAATCCTCCGTTTACAGATGAAGTTATTTTAGTTCAAATAAGTAAGAACATTATAGTCGGGTAAGGCTATCCATTAAATACTGTACACCACATTCTTTAACATTAATTTTTATTATAGAACATAAAAATTATATTTTGTTGCTATATAAAGGCATAGTTTTCAAGTGCCTATTTACGGAGAAGCGGGATCAAAACGCAATCTAATGTAGACTAAGTTAAATCCTTACGTAGGGCAGAATCGAAAAACTAGGCCGAGATGGTCCAAATTTTGCAGAGTTCACTTTTGTATAAAATTATTGTTATGGGTCAATTTTCATCACCTCATATTAGAAGTTATACTTTTCTGCTCTACAAAGGATCAATTTTTGTGAAAATCCCTATTACGGTAGGATCTTTAGGAAATTTTCGTTATATGATTACCTCAGCCGGTCCAAAGTCTCCATATCAATTTAGAATGCCCAAATACTACCACCTAGCTACTTTTGCCAAAAAAAATTTTAAAAAATTGCTATTTTTTTCCAACTTTTCAGAATAGGGCGAAAAAGTGGACCGATCTGAACCGTCTCCAATAACGTACGTCCTTGGGTCAAAACATGTCAGTGTATCAAATTTGAACAAAATATCGGAAAAATTTGCGATCTGACAGACGGACCAGGCTTGGATCAGTTCAGATTGTGATTCTGACTCGATCGATGCAATAAAAGGTGCGTCAATCTTAAACCTTTCTGCGTGTTACATATGTCCGCACTAACTTAATATACCATGTAACACAAGTGATGTAGGGTATAAAAAGAAAATGTATCAGTTAGTAATATTTGGAAAAATATTTCACTTTTATTAATTTTGCTTTTCATTTACGCGGGCAATACATAGTTTATGATCGTAGAAAGAACATGTAGCCATAAATAATTGCTTGTCGTCGGGACGAGCATTCAAACACCAGTCGGCGCCATAACAAATGCTATTGTGTTCATTAAATTCGCCAACAACGATGGGAGAGCGTGGTTCGGCCACTTGTGCTATACTAAAATTATGGTACATGCAAGCGGTTAAAATTAAATTACGTTTTAATGGATCGCATTTCAGACGCCAGATACCGCCTTTTAGATTAATCTCACTTAAAGGCTGTTTCATAGCTCTCGTATCGAATGCACGTAAATGCTCATCGTAGCTACCAGTTAACAGTAAATGCTCGGTATTTGGATGGCTCAGTAAACAAGTGACCCCAGCCATATGTGATTTATTTAATAAGACACGACTTTGTGTTCGTATGTCATAGATATGTAAAAAGGTATCATCACCACCGGTATAAACATGATTTTCATTCCATTTATCAAAGGCGCAAATCCAAGCTTCGAAATTATGTGCCGACCAAGTACAAATTTTTTGTAGATCACCTCGATATGTAAACCGTATAAGACTTATATCGCCTCGCGAATCGGACGCCAACAAATTTTTCGTATCATCATTTGTTTGTAACGACATCCTTGTGTCCCAATCTATAGATAAAGCCAATAGATTATGATACGTTGGATTAAGTTCGAGACTTGATATCTTTTTCAAATTCGTTTCGATTATTTGAAATATTTCGATTTGACCTAAAGCATTGGCCGTTGCTAAAATTGGTTGATGGACTGATGCATTCTGCAATTCTGGCAACCATTTCATATCTAAAATGGCAGCAGTTTCCAAGCGATGCAATTCATTAACGACAAGGGCATCTTTATCAAATTGATATAAATATATGCGACCTTTACGGCGGCATGGCGGAGAAGTCGATTGAGCATTGTTACCCTCCAATTGATATGTACCGCATACGAAATAATTATTATACGAGGGATGTGAACACCATTCTATCGAATCGGCGGAATATTCAGTGTCAATGGTATGTAAAGCTTCGATCTCTAACATCTTCTGCAAATATAAATAAAATAATTTATTAACTATGCGCATAATGCATTGTGTATTCTCTCGTTTCGCTTTCTTCTCACTTCTTTCTCACCATCACCGTGTTACCCCCCACCCCTCCCATATAGGCGATATCCTCTTAAGGACTAATCATATATAAAAAAAAATAAAAAAAATTATTTTCAAAAAAAAATTTCCCGCGAAATCATTTTCTTTTCTTTTTGTACTCTACATGACTGAAGGTATATTAAATTTGTGCGAATGTTAGCAACATCCAGTAGAATTAGAGATAGGCCAACTTTTCATTATATCAGTTGATTACGAATTATTTTTTGTATTGAACAAACATGTCCATCCGTCTTACATCTTTCTATGTGCAAATATATTTAACCAATCGATCGCAATTTTTGAGATATTTTTTTGGCGAATTTTGGTAGTTCTCTCATTGAAAATTGATTTGGATTGATCATTACGACAACCCCAACCCCCACATAAAAAAAAAATCGTTAAAAAAAAAAATATTTATAAAAAAAAGTTTGTATAAAAGAAAAAGGTACAATTTTTCATATTTCTTAACAAAAATTGATAGGAAATATCGGACGGCATAAATTTTTGAACTCCTCTTCTGGCCATCTGGTCTGGATAATAAGTCTTATGGAAATCAAGTTTTGATATAATTTTTCATATGTCTTAAGAAAAATACGCGAAAAATACTATTAACCAAAGTGTGGTAATATTGCGACATTTTATTCCAATGTCCATATATGTATATACAAAGATCCTATAAAGTTCTTGGTCAGCGTGAAATCTTGAGTTAATTTAGCAATTATTGTCCGTCTGTGTGGTGTGTGTTGTTGGCACTTTCCGTGTCGCGAAAACGAAGACTTCAATTTTGGTTGAAATATTGCAAGTTTCTGCACGCAAATTGGTATGGGCCATATGGACCAAATTGGTTAGAGTAGAAGCGCGCAGTGGAGCGTAAACTGAACGCAACTTAGTTTTTTCTAATAAAAATTTTTGGATTTTTACTCGTATTGCTCGGAAATTATCAAAGTTAGAAGGCTGAAACTTTTCACATTTGCTTTACGAGACACTTTACTCTCTATGCCCAAAAAGTAGAATGAATCGGTTATGTCCACACAGTGTTACGAGTAATTAAATTTTTCTTTTTTTTTCACTTTTTTGAGGATTAATGTTTATTTATTATCAGGTAAGCAAAACCAAAGGTTTAAAACTATTTTGTACAATCGTCAAATGAAAATATATTATCTGCCTACAAGTGGGTTGATTTTAAAATGAATATGGTAGACACTGCCAATAATTTTTTCGCAATAATACCAGCGATATGGGTATCAAATAAAAGGACTTGGAGAGTAGAATGGGAAAAGCATATGGGGGGGTATGCGAGATTCGCTTCGATTCGATTAAGTTCTACAAATCTCTCGCAAGAGTCAATTGATTAATATCGAGGCTAAAAATCGATTGCTATGGCCATCGAATCGTTAGTCCCGATTAATAGGCGCAGCGTCTAGCTAACCAAATCGGGCGCGAAGATAGAAAATAAAAAGCGTATAACAAAATTGAGAGTATAATAAACGAATGTGATGGGTAATTAAATGAAATGTCGCAGCATTTTCGACGACGAGCTTGAAAATGTAATAATTCAAACTTGTCAAATAGCCTTTGAAGCAATTTGAAGGCGCAATTTCAAATTTCACAGAGGCATTTACTTAAGTAAGTCATTGTATTTACATAAAAAAAAAAAATTGTAAAATTAATTTACCCGCCCGTTATAGGTATATAAAAAAAAAAAAAAAAAAAAAAAAAAAACAAACAAACATACTTTTTTGCTACTTTAAAAAATTATTGACTTTATTCTTAGTGTTTCTTTTTCATCTGATTTTAGTCGTACATAATATGTATGTATGCATGTGTTTTCTTTATTATTATTATCAATACATATTATGTGTGTATATATATGTATTTATGTCGCAACTATATGTATGTATGCATCTTAATTTTCTTTTATATTATATAAATTTATTGTATAATAATTTTAATGGTTTTTAATGCGCGGGTAGTCTGTGTAAGTGAACTTTTATGTGTAAAGTTCAGATAAAATGTTTTTTTCTTTTCTTTTTTGTTATAAATATGTATTCGTCTGTAATGGATGTAGTAGGAAAAGAAGGAGTATATATATACATATATACATATACACACATATATATATATATATATATACACGTATATGCATATATGCAAATGTGTGTAATTGTTTAGTATATAAATCAATTTTGTGTTGTTTATGCGTTTTTCTGGATTTATATATATACATCTACATATATATATATATTTATTTATATATATATAAATATATATATATATATCATTAAGTATATTATTGTTTAACATTCATCAATCCTATCCATTCATTATTCATGAATTGTATATGTACGTATGTATGTGTTGTCTGCATGTAATATTCTTGTTATTATTACTATTTTTATTTTATTTATTATTATTATTATTTTTATTATTACACAGTAATATTAGTTAACTTATCTATATATGCATGTCGGTATATGTATCATAATGGATTACATAATATGTAGATGTGTGTAAAATGTATGATTTTCTTTCTCTATATATCTGCTTTATTTTATAATAATCATTATCATATATTATTCTTCTTCTTATTATTATCATTATATTTATGTGTGTTTACTATTATCATTATATTAATATTATCCCGTATTATTTAATTTCTTCTACATATTACATCAAGGTTAACTACAAAGTGTTTACTACAAAATAGTTTTCATTCATCATTTTTATGAATATATATATATATATATATATACATATATATATATATATATATATATATATATATATATGATGTACACACACATATATTTATGTGTGGTATATGTATTTATGTTTATGTTATGTAATATTTTAGTACCTTATTATGGATGTATTGTATTTCATCGTTTTGTTTGTATGCTGCATAAACTTGTTAGGATGTTAAGATTATGTTTAGATTTAACTTTGCCCTTTTGCATTTAGGACTGTAATGGATTATTTTTGTTTTTGTTTTTATTTTTATTTATTTTTCATTTTCATTTTATTCTTATAACTAGAACGTGTTTCCATTTGAATCATCTCATCATCGTCGTCTAAGTGTTATAAAATAATTAAAAAATTGATCACATCTACCAACGCTATTTGCACGCTTTTTTGACTTGGATTTGTAAACACAATAACTTATAATTTTCATTTCTCTCGGTTAAAGGATGTGGAAGTGTAATTATATATACATATATATATATATATATATATATACATATACATATATATACATATATATATATATACATATATATATACATATATATATATATATATGGTCAATGTGTTAACGAGAAAACAATACAAAATTCTTTGCAAGCAAACGTCCTTTATGCTCCTCTTATACTTTTTTCTTTTCTTTTTTTCATTTTATTTTTTTTGTTTTGTTTTGTTTTTTTTTTTTTTTCTCTATTGATGTGTTTATTTTGTTTTCATAACTATTATAGGTTCTAGGATTTTTAGCATATCATTGTTTTCCTGCTGATTTGTATTATACTCTTTGCCTTTGTGAAATGCTCCGTTCGTATGATTTGTTACTTGATGATTATTGTTGCCAGTGGCGAACATCATTTGTTGCTGCTGCTGTTGTTGTTGCTGCCTTTGTTGTTCGCTTGTAGCGGAGGCACTTTCCTGGGACATGCTACCGCCGCTGCTAATACTTAAACTACCAGCGCTATTAAGATCGGCGGCTACAGTTGATTTATTCTCGTAGCCGTTTGATGTGTTCATCGTTGTTTGATCGTAGAGGCCGGTGGGCGGTGTTGAAGCATCTTCAATTTTGAGGCGATTATATGAATGTGTTCTTAAGCGGCGCATGCGTGCATATTCAGCTTGCTTAGATAGGCGTATTTTTCTCTCTTCAGCGGTTTCGGTTGCACGTATTTCGGCCCGCTTTTGTTTGGCTCGTTCGCTTAATTTCGCGAGACGTACAGCTCTCTGCTCAGGCGTTTCATTAGCTCGCATTGCCCTCTGATGCGCGGCCATTTTATCTAAACGTCTACGTTTCTCATCGTCCGTTTCATATCTATGTTGTCCACTACGGCTGTTGCTGCGTATACTTGAATTGCTAATTGAGGAATGTTGTTGATGTTGCTGTTCAGATGTTTGCATTTGCTGTTGCTGTTGTTGTTGTTGTTGTTGCTGCTGTTGTTGTTGTTGTAACTGAAACTGCTGGAACTGTTGTTGTTGTTGTTGACTACGTCCGCGGCGCTGGGCCAGATGGGGTGAGGCTAGCATTTGATTGATCTCTTGTTCGAGCAGAGCGCTCATTTTTTGTTGATGCTCCTGCTGTTGCAATACATCGGCCTGCGATGCATCTTTATTATTAAAGATCACTTTTCTAGGGCGACCGCGGACCGCTTTTGGAAAATCCTGTATGACCTGCTGCTGCTGTTGTTGTTGACCGGCAGCTGTTGCAGCTGCTGCTGTAATCGAAAGGTTTTGGTTTGTTTTGGTTAAATTGGTCTACAAGTAGAGTTTTCTGAACCCAAGCCTACCCGATTGTGATTGCGTCGATCCCGCTCCCACCGTGTTTGAGGCTGTAGAGAAGTGCACGGGCGTAAATGGTGGCGGCACCGTATTCGGAGCTATGCCTAATTGAAAGCCATTATGATACATGGGATAGTAGGCAGCTGTTTGTGTGGGCGTGTTAGGAGGCGTAGTAACCGTCGCCGCCACCGAGGAGTTCGCGGCTGCTGCCGCCGCCGGAAATGTGGCCAAATATGAGAATTGATTATACAGCGGTGTGGGTGGATTTTGTATTTGTGGATGTGCTGATTTAACTTTCTGGCTTTCGCTTTTCTCGTTTTGAATGCCAGCGGTTACGCCAACAGACCCGCTGTTGTTACTGTTATTGCTTGCCGTATTGCCGCCGCCAGTTGCCTATAAAAGTGCCACCAAGATTAGGGAGGATGTGTTGTTGTGTGTGTTGTTCATATATTGTTGTTGTAGTTGTAGTAGAAGTTGTTTTGATTTTTTTTTTTTTTTTTTTTAAATCAAATTGTTGTTGTTGGTTCAATGATTTGCAGAAAGCAAATATGTGTACATGGAAAATTTTTTATTTTGAAGAAAAATTTCAAGTATAAAAAATTGAAAGAAAGGAACACACAACAAGTATGTGGATGATATACATAGAGATTTAGAGATTGATTGACTTTATTGATCGAATGAGTGAGTGAAAAAATTATACATATGTATCATTCTGTATTGGCATTTGCTTTCTACAACTGATTTTGTGTGTTCTCTCGTAAAATTTCGCCTCAGTCACTGTCCGACACTATACCCACCTGTTGCAGTTCTTCTTGTTTTTTGATGTGCTTATTCTGCTGATATAATTCCAGCGAACTAGCGATTGTGCTGAAGTGAGGAACATTTGCTGCTGTTTGGGCTAGTTTGCCCGATGCCACCGCCTTTTGTGTGGCCTCATCGTATAGTTGTTGTTGAAAGATATTTGTTGCTTCTGCATCCAGTAAACTGTGCTGCGTGCCGGCTGCTTGCTGTTGGTGAGTAGGTGCGAAACGATTCTGGGAAGCAAGATTGTTTTGTTGTTGAGACTGCTGTTGCGTACTAAGCGGCTCCTGTTTGAGCAATGTGCTGCCCGGTCGGAGGGTGCCCGGATTGATGAACATATTTTGATAGTATTCTATGGGATTGGCTGCTAATGCAGCAGCCTGTTGATATGATGCTGTGAGTTGGTGCTGCTGCTGCTGCTGGTCGTCCTGTTGGCGTTGTTGCTGCTGGGCCAGGTCATCGCTGGATCCGGGGGTGGAGGCCGACGTGCCTGCGGGAGCTGCCTGATGATTTAAATTTAAATTCTCGTTATTATTACAAATAGCCGCAGCGCTTTGCGTATTATTCGAATTCTGTGAATTCGTTGTCTGCGCCGCGCCCGCTTGTTTTAATATTTTTTTCTTTTCTCTGACCTTTTTCGCATATTCATTCAGTTTTTTCAGGCGTTCCTTGCGCTGCTCGGGCGACTCGTTGGCAATGCGCTGACGTGCTCGGGCCGCCATCTCGGCTAAGCGAGATTTGCGCTGCTCTGGTGACTCGTTGGCGCGGTACATGCGCATTCGTTCAGCTAACTTTTGTAGACGTTTAGATCGCTGCTCTGGGGATTCCATGGCGCGACGCAGACGTTGTCGTGCCGCATTGCGTACCAAACGCATGGCTCGTTCCATTTCGTTTTCGTTTTGGCGGCGCAAGCGATTGGCTTCAGCATTGCGCGCCAAACGCTTACGATATTCGTCCTCGGTTTCACGACTACGTCTCTCGCGCATCCTCTCAGCATTACGTGCCAGCCGGCGTGCTCGTGCTTCGGGGCTTTCGTTCCACCGGTGACGTGCCGCGGCTGACGAGGTGGATGAAGTCACAGACGCTGGGCCTAAATTAGTAGTGTTTTGTGTAGCTGCTGTATTCGTGCCGGTCGGTGTGGGCAGTGGTGGCTGCTTAAGGGATAACGGTTGTGGATAGACGGCAGCCAATTGCAATTGCTGCTGGTGCTGTTGTTGCAATTGTAATTGCTCTTGCTGTTGCTGCTGTTGTGATGCTAAATGTTGTTGCAGTTGTTGTTGTTGCAAATGATGTTGCTGAAGCTGTTGTTGTTGTTGTTGCTGCTGTTGATGTTGTTGTTGCAACTGCTGCTGTAACTGTTGCTGATGATGGGACAACGGTACCAGCAATGTGGAGGGATGATCGATTAGCAAACGGGCATTAGGGCCATTCAGTGCCAAAAGATTGGTGGCATACTGTTGATGATGCTGTTGCTGATGTTGTTGTTGCAGGTGCTGCTGGTCAAGACTCGGCTCTAATTTTATCCCATTGGGACCAGATGCCATTATTTCCTACACCACCCCACACTCACTCTCAGGAACACTTGTAATGATATGAATATGGAACAACAAATTGCGACGACAATGAGCTTGATTGCAATTCAAAGGCGAGAGCAGAACTTGTTGGTTTACTCTTTTTATGCCACATTGAAGATAGAGAAGAAATTAAAATGTTCTTTTGTTACTTATAGCTAATCACCGTCACTTAAGTCCTTTGCCGATTCTACAAAAATTCGTTTTCATAATTTCTGCGTATTTATGTAAATGTGTGAGCAAAGGCAAAAATAAAACAAAAAATTAAAAAAAAAAAAAAAAAACACCAAAGAAAATGGGGGAAAACGCGTGAAAAGCAACAACGTCAGTATATCTTTTTCCTTAAATATTGAGATTTGCTGCTATTTTATGGATGAGAGGTTCGTTTAGTTTTTTTTTTTTTTTTTGTTTGCCTTCACACTCACTGATGTCACTTCTTCGACTACTACTACGTACAACTACAACAATGTTAAAAAAATTGCGCTTTCTTGTCAGAATTTTGACATTACACGTCCAATGAGATTGTACAGCACTGCTATGAAGCTGATTCTTCTTCTTCTTAATTTTTGTTTAATATTGAATATGTATATGCATATATAAATGTGTGTGGCATTATTCCAATGACAGCTTGTTCCACATTGGAAAGTGACAAATTCTGTTTTTCTGTATGTATGTCAGATTTCCAATCGATTTTTCACATGATTTTTTTTTTATAAGAAATTTTTTTCTCTTTCGAATCTGCCTTCTTACTATTTATTTAGCTTTATCTGATAATTAATTGAAAATTTTTGTATTTAAACTTTTTACTTCATTCGTTTTAACGTTTTTTTTTTTCTTCTACTATCTTGTTGGGCTTTGCCTTTATGTTTCTGCTGTTGCTACTGTATGCGCCTTCTTTTTTTGGCCAGCGTCTGTGTGCGTTTATTTCATTTTATTTATTTAGTTGTCTTTATTATTTGTGGCTCAACACGATTTACACAATACTTTGCACATCATTTTTTTTTACATTTAACTAAATTTAATGTTTTTTTAAAACTTGAAATTATTTTTTAAAAATTTTTTTTGAAAAAAAAGCACGAACACAAACTCCTTCCGACTTTACACAAAAAATGTAAATAAATTCATACTGGAAGGCGGTATATTTACGTGAACTGGAATGAGCGAAGAACCCCCAGTATAAAAATGTTGGTAAAAGATATAATAAATATATAAACGTGAGGTTGATCGCAATGAATATAATGATCAAACCTGATCTTGTCAATAGGAAATTATTGGAGAAAATTGTTTGCATTAACAATAGTCTTACGGACCGTATGAAATATAATAAGTTTGCCATTCAGGAATGTTTACCGGATCTTTTTCTATCTTTCCTTTAAAGTCAAAGAAAATTACAAGAGCAAAGTATAAATTGGATTGTTTACTCATTACAGAGGCTTCAGCATTTTCAAAAATGTGAACACATAATAATGTCTTTACTAATACCAAATGTTGTTTTATACTTTTTAAGACGATACTTATATATCAGCATATACATATATACATATTTAATAATATTGAATTATTAAAGAATGAAAATTTACTTTCATATATCTTCTCGAGTCTTTAACCAAATATCATTACAAAATATAATATATATGTAGGCTTTTTTTTTTGTTGAGGGTATAAAATATGGAAATAACGTTGACGTGAGTTTAATTTAAAAGTTGAAATAAAATACAATCTTTTGATCAAAAAGAATTTTTGAAAATTTGTTTAGGACAAAATCTTCATTCCGTCATTCAAAAGTTTGTAGAATGGAACTATAAAGGAGAACGGGGAAAATTAATAAAGGTCTATACACAGTTCGTTGACATTAGGTATAAAATTAAAAATGAAATTATCTTCGGATTTTTTTTTTTTTTTAATAAAGAAAATATTCGCTTGGCTTTTATTTTTAAGTAAAAACAACCGAATATAATATTATATATAATTGTAATAATTTTTGGCGATTTTTTATTTTATTTTATTTGATATCACTATTAGCTTTAGCATCCTATTACATAACTACAGCATAGTACATATGCTCGCGCTTAAAATAAAAATGGCGCCGTCTGTACGCATAACAGAGAAATGAAATAACATAATAAATAGACCGTTCTATTGTAATTGCATGGTAAAAATCGTCATTTTACAAATGTATAAGATCTAGAGACAAAATTTTGTAATTCAGCTGTTTTTTGTACCAACGTTATGGAAAATGGTACAAAATTTAATTTCTCCAGCTGTTCTTTGTTTATAGTATAAAGGAAACGGAACAAAATTATATTCTACAGTTTTTTTTTTATTTTAGGTACATTACATTTTTTTCTTATTAATGTTGATAAAATTCTTTTAATTTTGTTTTTTTTTTTTTTTTTTTTTTTTTTTTAACGCACGAAACATAAAGCATGTACAATTAGATCATATGGGTCATTAGTCATTGTCAACCGTTGGTGGTTAATTCAGATCTTTTCTATTTATGCAAACTATAGAATATTTTTTATTCCGTTTATCTGTCAATACATGCACATCTTTTATGTCAATATTGGTAGAGTGTATAACATGTATAAATGTAGCAAATATGGATCTATTATTAAGTTGGCGCAAATATCGAACAAGGTCAATTTAACATTTGGTGCGGGCATGGATGTACGTACTCCGAAAAAATACTGAATTTACAAATTATAATATTTATATGTAAAGCCATTTCCAGACAATATATATAATTCAATTAAAATATGTATAAAAATTCATTGATTCTCGGTTAAGCTAATGCTGCTTTAATGAAAACTTCCTGTAAATGAGTCTGCACAATAAATCTATAAGTATTTCTTTGGCAAAAAGAGATAAAGAGAATGAGAATTAAGTGCAAGCGCAAACAAAGTGAAAGCATAATTATTGTTCAAACATTCTGCTCACGTTTCGGACGCTCAAGCAAATTTCAGATGTTTATGACTATTCAGAGAGACTAGTATCTATATTTTATCTATGGCAGCATTCACGCAACTGCAAACATAATTATATAATAACAACAAGTAAAAACTGAAATATTTCCTATAAATAAATAAAAATGCTACATATAAAGGCAAGCGCGATTATTAGAATTGAGCAAGGCCGATCTTTAGGCGGCCTACATCAATTTGCCTATAATATTTATATGTTTGGGTAATAATACACCAAAGATTACACATTATTTTTATGCAAAGACATAGCTTGCATGAAAGCCCGTATTATGGAGAATTCCCGAAGTAATACATGACTGTTCCAATTTAGTAAAACCCCTATAAATGTTAAGGTCTCAAAAATCGACCTATGTTATCCAAATTCCCTGTCGTTTATTTTTTTTGCTAAATTGCTATTATACGTCAATTTTCATCAAAATATATTAAAAAATTAAATTTTGTTCTGAAGAGAGTACTATTCATGAAAAATTTTATATGGACTAGGAGGCAAGAAATAGACCTGTACGGCTCAAATTTGGTCCATTTAATTTTTATACCAAATTATTATTGTGAATAAATTTTTATTATAAAAGTGCTCATATTTCCTGAGAATCCTTATAAGCGCTGGTGTTAAACAAATAGACCTACATTGTCCAAATTCGGTAAGGTTGATTTCTTTGGTAATTTATTATTATGAAGTAATTTTCATCGTGAAATATTAAATATTATACCTTTTCACCAAATAAAGACTCAATTTTCGTAGGAAACGGTTGTATGAGATGGCATTCAAAAAATTTTCCTAGACAAACCAAATTGTTCGTATCAATGCAGCGAGTTTTTCCTATGTAACGAATTTTCAAAATCAGGCCGCATATGGAGAGTGGTCGAAAAAGTCGATACGAACCATTTTTATTACTGTTCGACTCTGGGCCAAAACAAAATATTTCAAAAATTGTTAACTGTACATTGAATACAAATACATATACGGCAAATATCGACGGTGAGCCGGGCAGACAGCCAAACAAGCTTAAAATCATTTTTCCAATCGATCCGTATAACAGAAGTTGGGTCTATCTCAAGTCCTTCTGGGTGTTACGTACATCCGCACAAACTTAATATATTCAGTGCCGCAAACGGCATAAGGTATAAATATGTTCATCCAACACATGACCTTTGCGTGATATTGGTTAAATAGACCGAAGATTTCTTCATTTAGCACATTTGCAAAAATATTTTTATAAGATTTCGCAACATTGTGTTGGTAATTGTATAAATTTTTTATACGTGATTGCATCCCAAGTTTTTAACAAAAATTGGTGAAGTCTCGATCCATTTGAGTTGACTCTCACATGTGACGGGGTGATTGAAGAAAAATCTTAGAGAGATGGATAGATAGATAGATGGAGAGAACGGGGGAGAGAGAAGAGAAGAGAGAGAGGGAGAGAGAGGGAGAGAGAGAGAGAAGAGAGAGAGAAAAGAGAGAGAGAAAAGAGAGAGAGAGAGATAGAGATTTTTGTAGACATACTTTTGAAATAGTAACCGTGGCATAGAGTCTTTCGCCTTAATTAAGAACATGTTGCTATTAAGATATGTGTTGAAGAACGGAACGAGAAAGAAAGTCATCATATTCAGCTTGTTATTTGATTACTTACTTGTAATAAATACATATTTATAAAAGAAATTAACTCAATTTCTCAATACAAGCATAACGTGCAATGTAATGTTAAGCGTTGCAGTAAAGCAAACAAGATAGGATTACTTATATATAAATTTCCCATCATAGATAAACTACATGTCTGCTACGGTATATATAGCACGCAGTAATAATAACAAACCTGGAGAGTAACACACTTCAACTTTCGTATTATTTATGCGTTCAAGTACGTTTATCAAATTTCGCCTACAAATTTACAAAAGAATTTGAAAGTGATTTAAACCTTTCCGAAGACACGCCTACAACGACCACTTCAATTTTATCACCGCATATTAAAACTTAGACTTTTCTGCTCTACAAAGGATCAATTTTCATAAAAATCTTTGTTAGGGTAGGATCCGAAAAATAACCTGAGATGGTCCAAACTGGTTACAGCTGATCTTTTTACGTTAAGTTACTGTTACGATATAATTCTCATCATGAAGCATTGAAAATTACACGTTTATGTCGTATAAACTTTAGTTTTCTTTATATGAGAGGGCGTTCCAAAATTGCCCCAGCCGGTCCAAAGCTTTCATATCAATTGACGAAATACTCCCACTTAGCCATTTTTGCTAAGAAATTTTGAAAATTACAACTTTTTTTCACTTAATGATTTTTCACAAAAAAGTGTTATATGGGAAGTGGTCGAAAAAGCAGACCGATTCCAACCATTTTCAATGGCGTTCGTTCTTGGGCTATAATGCTTTACTGTACGAAACGTCATCGAAATATCTCAAGAATTGCGATTTGTAGCTTGAACACAAATGTACATGGACACACGTCAGACAGACAGACGGACAGACAGGCTTAGATCAATACAGGTTATGATTCAAAATCGATCGGTGTAATAAAAGGTGGGTCTATCTTAACCCCTTCTGCGAGGTACATACGACCGCATTAACTTAATATACCCTGTACCACAATTGGTACATGGTATAAAGAGAACGAGTTATATTCACACACCTTGGATCGAATCTGTGATGGTTATCATTTCAAATTAATGTAAAAATTGCCAACGGATATTTTCAAATTGTCGATGCATCAGCTAGATAACAAGAGTCATTTTCTACGTGAAGTTTCGAAATGACATTACGAAATGTTTGTATTCAATTTTAGATCAATATTTATTATGGATTGTAAACTGTGTAGATTTTTATCATTTGTGATTGTGGTTGTAGAGATATTACCCTCATTTTTGAATTAATAAATTTTTGCTTCAAGCTGAAGATAATTGTTCAGAGTTTTGATTTTTGCCTATTGTAAACATAACTGTAAGGATAACGTTCCTACTAACTTGTAAACTCGCACTGTGGTCATCGTTAATAACATACATATATACATATATATATTCGTCAACAAAGTACACTTAAACAGATAGATGAGCAAGCAAAACGAATTCAAGGTCTTACGTCAATTAGACATGTACATATATGTATATATAAATAAATAAATAAATCGAGAAGCAGAAGCTTTGGTTCACAAAATTTGTGGCAAATGCAGCCACCGCGCTGAAGGTAAATGCCATCAACATCTATAGTATCAATTCTAAGCGAAAATATGACTGATTCTTCTTCTTCTTCTTCTGCGAGCCAGTCAGTCAACAGTAGACAGTCAACAGTTTTGAGTCAAAAAATGTATTTATACTTCAGTGAATCAAATTTCACCGATACAATAACAAAACATATAAGCAAGCAAGAATTTCTCTAAACGAGCAAGGCCGACCGTTAGATACCCGACGTACAATATATCAATTTGCTTAGTACATTTATTTGTTTGGGTAATAATACACCAAAGATTACACAGTATTTTTATGCAAAGGCATAGCTTTCATGAAAGACCGCATATTGGAGAATTTCCAAAGCAAAACATGACAGATCCAAATT